CTTCTCTGGCCTTCCATTGAGTCCACCTGAGGGTAACTGTCGTTCACAAAGCCACCAACCAAGTAAATCAGAATTCACTTGATGCAACTGACTTGTAATAGCCAGAAATCCTGTGCAACAATAGATCTAAAATTACAGACATAAAGTAAATGTGTATAATAATTTCTTGATAGTAAAATTGATAAAACTCAAATTATTAAAACACCACTTTATAACTTAAGTTTTTCTTTCTGATCTGACAAATACTTAATAAAAACGTGTTTTGGTGCTTATGAACCCACTTATGTTTGCTTAGGTCAGAGGGATCCACTGAAGAGAAAGGTATACAGTATGTAAAGCAAACTAATGTTATCAATTAAGCAATTCTTATGTAAGATACCGTATTACAGTCAAATTAACTTTGTATCTGACAAACATTGAAATAACTCATTTTCCTACACTGACACTTGCTTCCAAAATGACAATAAATTTTCATCTGGACTAATAAATTACCTGGCCAGCATGGGATTCAGAACCTGGTCTGCAACCAAATCCACCGTCAAAGTTCATACAGGATAAAACAAATTCGATTGCCTTTTCCACATTAATAGCATCAAGCTTCCCCTACAAATAGGAAAAAAAAACAAAAAACAAAAAAAAAACTGTTTAATTCCAGAGTATTCAGCAGCTCAGACTCAAAAGAAAAAAAAAATTCTAGAGTATTCATGAACTTCAATCATTTCAAACCAATATTCAAAGCTTACCAACAATGCCAAAGTTGCCACCGCACAAAAAGAGAATCTTGTATCAATTTCTCCTATAATAAAAAGAGATCAAAATCAAGGCAGGTATTACCAGATTATATATTAGTCATCTAAAAAACTCTGCACAACTACCACTTTAAATTGAGTTCAAGCTCAACTTTTACTTTAGGTAGTCAGGAGGAATGCTAAATCTAAAGTGTCTTTACTTCCCAAAAAATTCCTTTGTCGGAAACAACAGCAAATTGACCAGGCACAGTAGCTCCTACCTATAGTCCCATCACTTTGGGAGACTGAGGTGGGAGGATAACTTGAGCCCAGGGGTTTGAGACTAGCCTAGGCAACATAGCGGGACCCCATCTCTACAAAAACTTTTTAAAAATATTAGCTGGGGATGGGCACCATGGCATATGCCTGAAATCCCGGCACTTTTAGAGGCCGAGGAGGGAGGCTCACGTGAGTCCGGGAGACCCCATCTCTACTGAAAATACAAAAATCAGCCAGGTGTGGTGGTGCACATCTCTATAATTCCAACTAATCAAGGCTGAGGCAGAATTGTTTGAGCTTGGGAGGTGGAGGCTGCAAGTAAGACAAGATTGCACCACCGCACTCCAGCCCCCGCAACTCCATCTTCCCCCTACCCCCCCAAAAAAAGCTGGCTGTGATGGTATGCAGCTGTATATAGTCCCAGCTACTCAGGAGGCTGAGTCTTGAGGATCACTTGAACATGGAGGGTCAAGGCTGCAGTGAACAGTGATTGTACCAGTGCACTCCAGCCTGGACAGAGCAAGACCTCGCTTAAAAAAACAAACAAAAAACAAAAACAATAAATTATCTTAAGCTACTTAAAGCATGTCCAGAAAGAGAAGAAAACAAATAGAACTGAAAGAATTAGTCAATTCCTAATAATGCAAATAAACTTACCCTATTTTATAATAAAGTAGATTTTTCACATCCCATGAAGCAGCTGGTCTCTCTGGCCTGCACTGTGTTCATCCCTAAAGCAGAGATTATCTACATTTATCAAATTAAGTTCTATTCCCTCCCGCCACTCAAATATTCGGCAAGTTTGTAAAGTTTTTTGAATATTTTTCCCTTACCAGCAAGAAGTTTTTTAAGAACTTTACAAAGCCACCAAATATTGGGGGAAAAAAATTTCACCTACCTTATCTTTTAGACTGGCCCCCTCTGTTCCAGTGCTCCTGTATGCTGATATAACTACCACAGTACATGCTGGAAGTTCCAGCAGACCATTAACTCCAGTTAGACCAGCTGCTTAGTGGGACCTGAAAAGATGAAAAACTTATAAACTGGTTACTAGCAAAATCAGTACATTTTTACATTGGTATTTTGGGTAGAATGGTCTAAATCTGACATTACCCCAAATATCTCCAGCAAAAGAACCATCTTCTTTCTGCAGACTTTTAACATATTCCACAACTTTATTTACATCGATAACATTAATACTGTCATACAGCGTAAGAATCTGCAATAAAGACAAATATTAGGTAAATACCCCTTTTATGTTTATTCTAAAGCTCTTATGCTCAATTCTTTTTTCTCAAAGACTCTCCTGTCATTCCATACAATTAGATATCAAGAAAACCCAAATCTTTATCCATAAAATATAATTTTTCTACATATAAATTTTAACTTGGCATTCCAACATACTCCAATACACACAAAGTCCTTAACCCATCTCAGCACCCAGCACCAGACTTTAAACCACCAGGCAGATGTTCACTAATATCAAACTCAAATAGCTATTTTTCAGTAGTTACACATACTGAAGATAAAAATTTTATCCTCCAAGGTCTCAGTGTAATTTTAGAACTCACATCAACTTTGGATTCAGCTAATACATGCCATTACATCATTGACCTTGTAGGACAGCTTCACTTTTTGACCAAATCCTATATATAGTTTCAATTCCCATTTCTTGAAGAGAACGTTCTATCAAGATCATTGAAATTTTAATTAGTATTTACCTGGACAGCACTAAGAGTGTATAAAAGATGAGGATCATGTCCGATACTAGCACTTATTCCACCACATTCATGTTGGCAAGACTTAATAAATGCCAGAATCTCTTCTCTATTCATTCGATGAAGTTGTCCCATGAGATCCATTACTGTCAGGCCCCAATAGATGCCACTCATTCTCAAATATTCAGACATACAGTATTCCTAAAACAATACACAATTTAAAATGTGTCAGCAAAGCTAACTTATTAGCCATGCTGCTATTTTTTACCTCTCCTGATCTTAATAGCACTAATCAGTAGTGAGTTTAAATTTGTGACTCTCAATGTCAGAAGCCATCTTCAGACACAACTATCAATCAGAAAAAAACAATTATCTGAGGACAGGATTAATTCATCTATGGCTGACAATACAAATAGGGCTTTTAGTTTCTCCCACAAGCCAACCAGACAGAAATGCATCTACCATTTTCACCAGTAAAGTTCAGGAAGAATATTTCTTTCAGAGTACCTACACCATACTTATCAAGCATGCATTTTAATGTGGAGTCTGTACATAACCTATTATCTATTAGTAAATCATATAACTACATGAAAACCAAAATGGCCTAAACATGCCAAAGATTTCTAAGCTCAGATAAAACACTGGCTAATCAATGATACATGAACATTAAGATTCCAGAACAAATTTTTCCCACACTCAACAATGCATTACATTTTAAGAAGTTTTGTGGCTGAGCATGGTGGCTCTCGCCTGCAATCCCAGCTATTCAGGTGGCTCACCTAAACCCAGGAGGTGGAGGATGCAGTGAGCCCAGATCACACCACTGCTCTCCAGTCTGGGAAACAAAGTGAGGTTTTATCTCCCAAAATGACGAAGTTTTCTAACAGGAAGTGCACCTGAGTTCGCTACTAACCCAAATCCAGAGCATACAGATAGCAGATAAAGGCAGAAACGAGTCCAGCCCCTTCCATATGATGACCTTAACTCCATGACTGCTACTCCAGTATTTTCAAGGTTATGAGAACCTAACACTTAAGTAAAAAATCAATACATACCATATATCCCACATATCGATGGATAAACTTAAGACAATTGAGTTTGGATACTACAGGGGAAAACATTTACTCTTAACTAAGTTGTTTACTACTTTTGTCCCAGAGAGTTTTCCTCAAAATTAAAACATTTAAGGTAAAACTTTTTCAAGGTCTCAGAGTAATTCTAGAGCTAAAGTGTTATTACACATCAGCAGTAGATTCAGATAAGACATGCCAAAACATCATTGACCTTGAAAGTATTACCCCTAACTACAAAAGGGGACACCTGTTTGTCCCCCAAACCCTTATCTACTTTGTCTGGTAAGCCCTCTCAGTATAGGTGAGTAGCTGGGATTACAGGGGCTCACCACCACGCCCGGCTAATTTAGTATTGTTGGAGGAACGGGGGTTTCACCATGTCGGTCAGGCTAGTCTCAATCACCTCGTGATCCGCCCGCCTCAGCCTCCCAAAGTGCTGGCATTACAGGCGTGAACCACCGCGCCCGGCCTGAAGTATGATTCTAATAAGTCCACAACCCCAGGCATTCAAGGCACGCTTCACTGAAATTCAAAGGCACAGCACATCCTCAGTTCTCTGCATGGAGTTGGATACCGTTTTAAGACGCATAAAACATAAATACTGCCTCACTGCTTATGACTGTCACGCTTCTTTAAAAATAGACTTTCCAACATAAAAAAAAAATCATACGTACATAATCGTCTTTCTTTGAGCCATAGGATGCGATATAATCTGCATGTTTCTCCAATAAGAGAGTGTCTGGTGCATCTGACTTGATAATAACATCCTTCTGTGGAGTGCCCTTTCAAAATAAAAAAGCAGTAATCTCAATGTTTACCTTTAAAACGTTCTGCCCCACAGCAGATTCTACATACATCTGAATTTTCAGTTGATTTCACCTTGTAACAGGAAAACGTTCCATTTAAAAATTGTAACCAACTAGGGAGGCTGAGGTAGATGGCTTGAGCCCGGGAAATTGAGGCTGCAGTGAGCTTAGATTGTGCCACTGCGCTCCATCCTGGGCAATGGAAGACCCTGACTCTAAATAAAGTATAGGTATGCATGTATTTATAACAAAAAATAATTTAAATTATTCAAGTTCCATTTTAGTCACAATTCAGGTAATTTTCAGGTCTCAGAGTAATTCTAGAGCTAAAGTAGTAAAAATCAACTTTAGATTCAGAATACATGCCAGCTCATCATCGACCCAAAAAATTACCACCAGCATTTTTTGTTCATTTTTCATTCAAAAAGGTAAGTAAACACCAGGCCTGGCACGGTGGCTCATGCCTGTAATCCCAGCTACTCAGGAGGGCTGAGGTTGCAGTGAACCGAGATCGCGCCATTGCACTTCAGGCCAGGCAACAAAAGCGAAACTGTCTCGAAAAAAATAAACACAATAGAATATCAAAGCTTAGCATTTCAGGACAACTTACGGTTTACATGCGGTAGAAAGCATATTAAAAAAAAAAATCTAGCTAGCCCTTAACTTGCAAGTAAATTCTTGCTTAATCAAATGCAGGTTTCAGAGCACCTTTTAAGTACCCCAAAAGATGTTCAAATATACTAAATAAGCATTTCCTTTAGCTCCATCTTCTCCACCTTTAATCCGAGTTTCTGTATTTGCAGAAGTCCCTATGGGATGCGGCTCTAGTTCTTTTCGTGTCTACGTCTTCCTCATTCAGAGTACATTGCAGTCACTACAGTAGGTCATGAAGATTACCGGAAATGATTAAGTGCCGAATTTTCCTCTAATCCCATTAAAAAATCTCTACGAGGCCTTCAAGCGAGACCACATCACTAACGATTTTAAAGAAATTTGACACCCCCCCTCCAAAAAAGAAAGCCATCAATCAGCCCGAGCTTTTTAGAGGGGTTAAGAAATCGGACGACTCAACTCTTAACAGGCCCTCCCAACAGAAGACGGCCTGGGTTAAAACTAGCAGCGAAATTACCCGCGAGGTCTGCAGAAAACGCTGAGTAATATTTCACCCTCAAGAAACCTTATAAGATCTGTGTCCTAACCATTCTCCAGCACCAGGAAAACAATCCTACAGCTACCAGTCTGCTACCAACCCATCTGGAGAGCAGCACGAAATGCACACTTACCATGTCTAACAGCTAAAAGAGAGAGCAGAGTTAGTTCCTGGGTAGACTTAGGAGCCGGGCGCCTGCGCAGAAGCACCTCTCAGGCCCCCAACGCCCTCCGATATAGCTGACCACACTTTCGCCTGAAAGGCAGAGCAGATCTTAAGGCTGCCGTAGGACCCCACTGATTGTTCATAGGTGTCCTCACCTGCCTGCGTTGAAAGTCTCTGGCGCCCGTATTCTCGTTCCGTAGCCAGTCTGATTTGTCTAGCAACAGCTTTAAATAATATTTAAATATCTGAGTTGCTTTTAAGAAATCATTTGGGCCCGGCGCAGTGGCTCACGCCTGTAATCCCAGCACTTTTGGAGGCCGATGCGGGCGGATCACCTGAGGTCAGGAGTTCGAGACCAACCTGACCAATATGAGCAAACGCCGTCTGTACTAAAAATACAAAAATTAGCTGGCCGTGGTGGCGCATGCCTGTAGTCCCAGCGTAGTCGGGAGGCTGATGCAGGAGAATGGCTTGAGCATGGGAGGCGGAGGTTGCAGTGAATCAGGGCCGGGGGAGAAAGAGAGGAAAGAGAGAGGGAGGAAGAGAGAAATAAAGAAAAAAAGAGAAAGAAACAGGAAGAAAGAAAAGAAAAAAGGAAGGAGGGAGGGAAGGAACGAAGGAAATGATTCTAGTTAGGAAGGGAGGGAGAGAAAAGAAAGAGGCATGACGGAGTGAAGGAAAGAGCGAGGGAAAGAAGGAAGGAAGGAAATTGTTCTAGGGAAGAAGGAAGAAAGGAAAGAAAGAAATCATTTGTTCTAGTTTGAACTCTGGAAGGAAGGAAATCATTTGTTGTAGTTTGAACTCCTGGATGCAAGCAGTCCTCTCTTCTGGGCCTCTCAAAGTGCTGAGATTACAGGCCTGAGTCACTATGTCTGGTCAGAACATTTTTCTTCTTTTTCTTTTGAGTCGGAGTCTTGCTCTTGTCACCCCGGCTGGAGTGCAATGGCTGATCTCGGCTCACTGCAACCTCCACCTCCCCGGTGGAAGGGATTCTCCTGCCTCAGCCAATCGAGTAGCTGGGATTACAGGCACCCGCCACCCTGCCCTGCTAATTTTTGTATTTTTAGTAGAAATGGGATTTCGCCATGTTGGCCAGGCTGGTCTGGCACTTCTGACCCCAGGTGATCTGCCTACCTCGGCCTCCCAAAGTGCTGGGATTACAGGCTTGAGCCGCTGCGCCTGGCCGTTTTTTGTTTTTGTTTTGTTTTTAAAAAAAGACAGGGTCTTGCTCTGTTGACCAAGCTGGAGTGCAGTGGTGCTGTCACAGCTCACTGCAGCCTCTATCTCTCATGCTCAAGTGACCCTCCCACCTTAGCCTCCCAAGTAGCTAGGACTACAGGTATGTGCCATCATGCCTGGCTAGTGTGTGTGTTGAGATAGGAGTCTCAGTATGTTGTGGCCTCCCAGAGTGTTGGGATTAGATGTGAGCCACCATGCCCTACCCAGAGCATATTTTATTTAACATGGATTAGCCTGGGTTTTAACTTTAAACTGTTAAATGTGCCTTATATGGTATGTGAGCGTGCACTTGTGATTTTGCTCCAGGCCCTGCAAATGTAAGGAGTGGGCCTTCTCTCTTTCAATATTCTCCCTTTCTGGGACTTTAGTTGACATGTTAGATTTCCTTTTTTTCTTTTCTTTTTTTTTTGAGATGGAGTCTCTCTGTCGCCCAGGCTGGAGGCAGTGGTACCATCTCGGCTCACTGCAACCTCCACCTTCTGGGTTCAAGTGATTCTTCTGCCTCAGCCTCCTGAGTAGCTGGGATTACAGGCGTGTGCCACCACGCCTGGCTAATTTTTTGGTATTTTTAGTAGAGATAGGGTTTCACCATGTTGGCCAGGCTGGTGTCAAACTCCTGACCTCAAGTCATCTGCCTGCCTCAGCCTCCCGAAGTGCTGGGATTACAGGAGTGAGCCACTGCACCTGGCAGAAATGTTAGACTTTCTTATTACATCATTCTCATTTCTTAATTTCTTGCATTTTTCACCTTTTTTGTCTTTCTGTGATGGATCCTGTATAATTTATTCATATCTATCTGACTATATAGTGTTCTTTTGGTACTTAAAGTCCATGGGCTAGCAGCATCAACAGCACTCTGAGAGCTACTAGAAAGGCAGTCTGAGTCACATCCTAGACCTAACAAATCTCATTCTACATTTGCAGAAGCTCCCCAAGGATTCTTATGCATTTTAAAACTTAGGAAATACTCTTTCAGATTAAATTCAATTGTTTTTCAGATCTTCCTGGTTTTTTTTTTTTTGCGTTTTTTTTTGTTTTGAGACAGAGTCTTGCTCTGTCACTCAGGCTGAAATGCAGTGGTATAATCTTGGTTCACTGCAACCTCCACCTCTTGGGTTCGAGCATTTCTCCTGCCGCAGCCTCCCGAGTAGCTGGGTCTACAGGCACATGCCACCACGCCCACTATTTTTTTTTTTTTTTTTAGTAGCTATGGGGTTTCACCATGTTGGCCAGGATGGTCTTGATCTCTTGACATCATGATCTGCCCGCCCTGGCCTCCCAAAGTCTGGGATTACAGGCATGAGCCACCCTGCCTGGCCTTGCCTGTTTGTTTTTATAGATTCCTATTGTTTTCCATTTTGTAATTTTTCAAAATTTTTTTTACATATTTCACACAAAAAGTTATTTTATTCAGTTGTCTCCTGGTATCTGTGGGGTTCCAGGAACCCCTGCCAATACCAAACTCCAAGGATGCTCAAGTCATTTATATAAAACAGCATAATATTTGCATATAACCTATGTACATCCTCCCATATACTTTAAATCATTTCTAGATTATCTGTAATATCTAATAAGATGACTACATATCATTCCATTTGTGTGGATTCAATGTAGTACTTGCATGTAGCAAATTCAAGTTTTGCTTTTTGGAACTTTGTGGAATTTTTTTTTCCCTGAGTGTTTCTCATCTGAGGTTGGTTGAATCCACAGATGCAGAACCCACGGAAACAGAGTACTGCCAACTGTACTGTTTATTTGATCATTCTAATGTCTGGAGTCTTGAGGTCTGTGTTAGTCCATTCTCTCATTGATACAAAGAAATACCTTAGCCTGGGTAATTTATAAAGAAAGGTTTAATTGGCTCATGGTTCCACAGGCTATACAGGAAACACAGCTGGAGAGGCCTCAGAAAACTTACAATTGTAGCAGAAGGTGAAGGGGAAGCAGGCAAGTCTGATGTGGCCAGAGCAGGAGGAAAACGTGTGGGGGTGGGGGTGGGAGTGGGGAGGTGCCACACATTTTTAAATAAGCAGATCTCACGGGAAAACTCACTCATTATCATGAGGACAGTGTTCAGGGGGATGGTGTTAAACCATTAGTAACCATTACCATGATCCAATCACCTCCCACCAGGCCCCACTTCCAACACTGGGATTACAATTGAAATTGGGATTTGGGTGGGGATACAGATCCAAACCACATCAAGGTCCCAAATGTGTTATTTTTAATTTTCAGTTGAATTTTTTTCGTGCTGATTGGTTCTTTATTTATTTTGAAGATTTTTGGTTGTCAGCTCATATTAGGGCCTCACTGGAAGGTGCCTTTCTCTGGAGAATATTTCTATTTGTTCTGACAAGAGCCAGAGAGTGATAATCATCTAAATTTACATTATGCAAACAATGTGCAGCCTCCTGGCTCTCTAAGAAGTGTTTCTACCCTGAAGGAGTTCAGTGGGAAAGAAGGTAAATAATCAGTGACAAATTCTCTGACAAAGGCAAGCTTAGTATGCTACAGAAAAGGTGACTTATAAGTCAGACGGGAGAGAGTTGTGGTAGAGGGGAAGGGAGGCAAGGAGTGATCAGATCTCCTGGGAAAAGCAATGCTTGAAATAAGAATCATGTAAGCATTAGATCCAAAAAGTAACATTGTTCAGATTGAGTTAATAACTGCTGAAGGAATAAAAAATAAACCTATCTTTCTACTGTATAAATTCATTCAACTAATATGTATTGATTGCCTAGAATATGCCAATATTATTGTAAGTTCTGGGGGTACAGTGGTAAGCAAAATGTAGGAAGTATATATTCTAACAATTCATTTTTAATTTTGTTTATTATTATTTTTGAGACAGGTTCTCACTCTGTCCTTAAGGCTGGAATGCAATGGTGGGATCAGTATTCACTGCGGACTAACTTTCCAGGCTCAAGAGATCATCCTCACACCTCAGTCTCCAGAGTAGCTGGGACCAAAGGTATTTAATTATAGCTATTTATTTATTGGAATATGGTTGATGTAGTATTCTATTTTTATGATATATGAGGAAGCCCTTTTAAATTCTGCATAAGCTATTGACTTCAATTTAGTGTATTCTGCTTTTGTAAAAGGTGACCATCAACATGCCCAGCTATTATTATTATTATTATTATTATTATTTAGAAACAGGGTCTCCCTGTGTTGCTTAAGCTGGTTTTAAACTCCTGGGCCCAAGAAATCCTCCATCCTCCCGCCTCAGCCTCCAAAAGTGTGGATTTACAAATGTGCACTACCACCCCCAGCCCAATTCTTGAATTACATTTGAAAATTCTATTCCTAGATATTTATCCTACAAATATATCCCCTTGGTTGTAAAGTCACTTATGTGCAAGAATAACCGTAGGAGCAGTCTTTGTAATAGCAAAAGATTTAAAAATTTTTAATTGGCTGGGCACAGTGGCTCACACCTGTAATCCCAGCACTTGGGAGGCTGAGGCAGGCAGATCACCTGAGGTCTGGAGTTTGAGACCAGTCTGGCCAATATACCGAAACCCTGTTTCTAAAATATTCAAAAATTAGCTGGGTGTGGTGGTGTGCGCCTATAATCCCAGCTACTTGGGAGGCTGAGACAGGAGAATCACTCCAACCCCGGAGGCGGAAGTTGCAGTGAACCAAGATCCGAGATCGCACCACTGCACTCTAGCCTGGGTGACAAAGCAAGACTCCATCTCAAAGAAAAAAAAAAGCTAACTGACCATCAAAAGGTTAAATAAACTATGGTATATTCATATGCACCTATTAAAGATAATAATGAAGCTCTACACATATTGCCATGGAAAGATCTTAAAAATACACCAAGTGAAAGCAAACATAAAAAGA